CATAACCATCAGGTAGATCACTAAGGGAAACTCAATGTCACATAGCATCAGTACAATTCCCGCGCAAACTGAAGCATTGACTTGGTCTCACAAAGCCTTCAAGCCAAGCTTTAACATATCTGACATACTAAACTGATGGGACTATACATGCACGACTGAGACAAACAGACATAGGATAGGTCTGGTGGTGTGGTCGGTGGAATTTACATTCATCTCAGAGAAACAACCAATCCTACCGTGAATACAAAGAAGCCTAGAGATAAGAACCGAAATTTACGTGCATCAAAAGCTTACCCAATTGAATTGACATAACTAACTATGCAGATTTAAGTCCTATAGGACACATAATACTAACATTTCTAACCCACTCCTCACAAGTGTTCAGGTCTCGCACCTTAGTTTGTCCATGAAGTGACTCATGAATTAGTAATGTCCCACTAGGGCAACTAAGGTAACCTGGGTATACCTTAACATAGTTGGACTCACTAAAGTGAAGTCAATGTCACACTAGTTGTTATCTCGCTTGTTCTCTCATCTAAAACGTTAGGAAAAGGCTTACTTATTATTTGACAAACTGGCTAGCCCGATACCTAACTCGGGTTCAACTCTGAGTAGTGACACTCTATTCGCTCTTACTATACTTTCCTTTAATTCATCCTCGAGTTAGAGGGATGATTGTATGTCCATCATTCGTTGACATCCTTGTAGTACATGTTCTTATATATCGTAGTCTAATTAATTCATTATACCGCTTGTCGATATGTCCTCTATAATGATCCTTCGTTCTTAGTTACTCGCTTTGAGGCCTATAAGGGTAGATTGGTAATTTCAACCCCAATGGCATTTTAGTCATTTTCTAGTACCCAAGATAGATGTCCGATCTTAAATGATATTAAACTCCTCACTCTTGAGTCTATTTAACATCTTGAAGCCACTCAACCATTTTGGGTAATGATATCAAGCCTTTGGTATGGATACTCAATCTTCGGTATGGAAACCAGTCTTGCGGTATGGAGACCAGTCCTTCGATATGGAGACCAGTCGGTCTCGAGACTGAGCATTCGGTATCAATACTAAACCCTCAGTATCGATACCAAGGGGTCAGTATTGATACTTCTTCCCCCATTATCGATACTCCCTGCCTGAAATCCCTAACTTTTTCCTTAATTCATATAGTATCGATACCGTTCATCCCAATATCTATACTCAAACCCTAAAATAGTTATTTAGGCTAGAGAAAACACCCAAAAATCATCCCAAAGGCCATAGTTTGGTTCTTAATCATGTGCTAAAGCTTTAGTGAGTTAACTTGGGTCTTAAAGTGGCATAAAAATGTTTTCTAAACCTCTGAAATGCCATTTTGTCATAAAATCAAATATAAACCCTAAAATGTTTAAATACTCAAATCTTAGAAAAATCATTAAATTTATGGAAGCTTAACACTCCAAATGATTAGAAATACAATGCATTGATTTTAGAAATCTGCAATGAACCTCATTTAGCTAGAAATCACCCTCCTCAAGGCTTGGATGATGAAAACCCCTCTTTTTCTTATAAAAATAAAACCCAAAGGTTGAATCTTCAAAAATGAGGTTGTTGGGAGGTTAATTAGGATGAAAATGAAGCATAAAAGAACTCAAGATCTTACGTTGCCATAGATCTTGGAGAGGGAAGGAAGGAAGAAGAGAAAGGAAGAGGATGAAGAGGAAATGAGAGAAACACACGTCCAAAATGGTATAAAACCTCAAATTTTAGCTTAAATTTCCATCAATGGTCTAATTGCTCTTTTGGTCCTTTTCATTTTGTCCCTTATTTAAAAATTCCTTTTTATGGCTAATTGGGTCCCAAAACCAACCAAATTAAGCCCAACAACTTAATTTATAAATTTCATGAGGTCCACTTACCTCTAGGATAAACCCGAACTACTAGCCTGGAATTTCGGGTGTTACATACAAACAATGACCACCCAAAGTTCACCGACCACCACACCGATCGTTACTTTAGCCACAATCCTCGGTGGTCAAAATCCTAAAAATCTACCCCAAATGTTCCTCTATTCACCTTGAAACATAATCCGAACCCCAATCGACCATGCAACACCCCCTTAGCTTAGATCTATGAAAATAACCTTGTTTTTTTTACATTTTTCTCTAGTGACCATTCAGGTTTTCAGTGTCGTTTTGATGCTCTATGAACGTCAACTCTCCTCCACGAAAAAAAGGCTAAGTTCTATTCCTTTCTCTCAATTTTTGTGGTTTTTTTAGGCTTCAATACTCTAAACTCATCCCCTTTTCTTCGTGTATTGCAAGAGGATTAAATAGCCACCAAGGGGTAGTTTGTTTCCTTCGAAAATTGAAGATTTGGTGTCTCCGTTTACACCATAATCAACGGGAAACGAGATGTCTTTCATTTTCTTTTCGATTGGATTTGAGGTTTTAGATTGATTTTCTTGGTATATTTGATTGTGTTATCGTTTGTGTTCATTTGGTTCAGATTTGTTCCCTTTTTGAATCGGATACGATCCTGTTTCCTTGTGGTTTTTGAGCCAAAATGGTGGAAAGAAAGGTTCTTTCCATTTCTTACTGATGCGTTTAGCTATATTCGTTGGCGCATGGCTTCATACGCCAATTAATGATCGATTAGTGACCTTTGGTGTTCTTGGATATCTCTTGGATGTTTCCTAGCCATTGGATTAAGGGGCCAGATCCAACGGTCCAAGATTGGTTACACATGCTTTATACTTTAGGGTTATATAACTTGCACGAGATCTGGTCCATTTCATCCCAACTCGATCTTATGGCTCCTATGCATGTGGTGCTGAGACTGTTTTGGAAACCATAGCTAACACCAAGGTTTGATGGGTCAAGCTTGCCTTGTGAGTCTTCGTCTGGGCCTTGGATTTTCCTTGTTGGACTACCTTGAACTCAATTAGACCTCAATTTGCTAGGTCATGCAAATTAGGTTTTGTCACCCATGTTGATTTGCACTGTTGGACTTATTTGGACCTTTGACTTGGATCGGACACTAAAATAAAATGAAAATGAAAATAAAAGTGATATAAAATAATACTAGTTATATATATATATAATATATTTTTAAATATACTATAATATATATATATATATCTAATATAATATACTATATATAAATATTATATATATATTTTAAAAAACAATAGTATATACTAGTACATATATATATATATATATATATATATATTCAGAGATTATATATATATATATATATATATATCGACTATAATATAAATTCTACACACACTACATAATATTACTAAATAATATAAATAATATCATATATATATATAATGCAAAATGGATACGAACGAAAATAGGTGTCTACACTTTGTAGAAACATCGAGGACTTCGGTTGATGAATGAGTTAATTGTGTGTTACAAGTTCACCTTAATCTTAGAAAGTTGAAGATTTGTTCACTTATCTAAAAGAAGAATTACTCTCATCATTATATACTAGTTCTAGATACGTTTACTACTACTTAAGCAACTAATCTTGTTATCTCTCTTCTCGTGTTTTAACTTAAAAGCTCCAATTTTTTACAGAAGAATTATTTCACATTAGTAGGGGAATATTGTTATTGCTCTATTTATAAATGCCTTTTAATTATATTTTTAATATAATTAAATTATACTTTGGAAATGATGATTTTGCCCTCTCTATTCAACCTATAAATTGTAGACAATTTCATTCATTCTCAGATATCCCTATGCAATTGTTTGCTTTAGAAACAATCACTCTGATCTTTTTCTAAGTGTTGTTTTGAGTGGAGAAAATAGCAATATCACCAGAGTCCACTCCATCTTTCGGGTGTACGAAATTTATGGAGCCATGGTAACCTCGGGGGGAGGGGGATTCATCCATTCTAGCGATTACACATGTTTGGGCGAATTTGCTTCTAAGGTTGTGGTTAATACCACTACATGGTTAGTCGGTTCTTTGCATATATAATTCATTTTATATTTTTCCAATCAGTGTTAATGTTTTGTTTTGCAACAGTCTATTCTTTCAACAGTGGATAACACACATATCTTATAGACATAGTTACTCATATTCAAAACTTATAGGAAGAATAACATTCACTTTTACCACACTTTTACCATGGGATAAGTTATATATAAATTTATATATTTTTCATTGTAGGATTGCTCGTATTTATTGCTATTATCGCGTATAGAATATCAAATATAATTTGTGAAACTAAAAGACTCACGTTTATTTGACAGGAACAGTGAATCTTCTAGTCCATCTCCCTCCAAAAATCATCTTTAAACACACTCCACCACCCAGAAGACATCATCATAACTTATGACGTGGGAATCAATTGCCTTGTTATTTTATTCTGCAACCAATATTTTCCTTTCTTTGTATTTATTTCCCTCAGGAAATTTGTGATTCCAGCTGGTTCGTATTGCCGAGGTTCACTCATGTTAGAGTAGAGATTTGTCCTATAGCCTCTGCAATTTGACACCATTGTACCATTCAATTTGCTCTATTGTAAGCCATGCATTGAGCTAGTGGCGTTTGGGCCTACTGCCACCGGTGATAGTAAGCGAACAGTCTCAATCCTTGAACTAAATGCATGGATTCTAAGCCATTTCTTTTACCAAAATTCTCCACTTCCTGCTCACTTCGTGTGGATATCATTCAAGGGACCTTCCAACTTGAACAAATAATCCGACTCTTGAAAAAGATTGCAAACAGTTAGAATCCTTATGTAAAATCACAGCTACCTTTTAACAAACCACAATCACATAAGGGTCTACTTAGATTCCGCTAGATTTGACAAATAAAACACGACAAACAACGTGCAAAACGAGGCTACATAAAACAAAACTGTACACAAAATCATTTAGTGCTCAACCGGACCTTGCAAAGCAAAGACAATGCTCAGCCACTTGTAGACTTTGAGCCATTGCTTTCAACAGTACCTAATTTTTCTCTATATAGACAATACCAGCTTGCTTTGGTCTTTGCTAAAACCTAAAAATAACTTGTCTAATGGCTAAATGGGAAGGTAAGGCCTATGCAAAGCTAGTAGGCTGCGCAGCTGAGCAAGTGTGGCCTCTCTTACAAGATTTTTTCGGGTTAGACAAATGGTTCCCGACTCTCACCACTTGCCTTCCCGTCAAAGGTGTGTCGGGAAAGCCGGGGTGCATTCGTTTCTGCTCTGGCTTCAAAACTCCGGTCGACGGTAGCAATAAAGAAGCTATGAACTGGACTAAGCAAAAACTGCTGTCCATTGATCCGAATGAGATGGTGTTTAGCTATTCCATTGAAGAAGGAAATGTTGGTTTCGATTCGTATGTGTCGACGGTGAAAGTGTTGCCCGAGGAACAAGGGTGTGCCATTGAGTGGAAGTACGAAGTCAAGCCTGTCGAAGGATGGAGACTTGAGGATTTGGATTTCTTCATCAGTTCTGGTTTACAAGTTATGGCTCGGAGGATGGAAGCAGCTCTTCAACTTTTTCAAGCTTCAATGGATCAATAAGATCATTTCTTATTACTTGAAGAAATGTAATGGAGAAATCAATAATTAGTCAATCATCTTGATTGTAACAAACTATATTCAATATGAAGTACTTGTAGCCAAGTTATTTAGGATAATTATATATTATTCCATATACTTGTGTATGTACTTGAGTTAGATAAGTACAAACATAAGCACTTGGTATTTGTGCGTATTGACGAGTAAAATTCGATTCAACTCGATTTGATTCAAAAATATTTTAAATAAAGTTTGAATAAAAAAATATGACTTGTCAATTCTACCAACTTGAATATTCGCACCTAATTCCTCCTACACCTAATTCTTCTGTCATTTTAAGTTCATTTTTTTATCAAATTTGAATCACGTGTTCCTCTAACATTATAAAATATCCATGTAACTTCAGTTTCTAGTTTAACAACAAATTGTTCTTTTTACAATTGAATCCCCTATCTTTGCAATTTATTCAATTTCATTTTTACCATTTTTTAAAAATTCTCCTCATCAATTATTTAATAACATTATACTCTCGTCAATACTTTTTCTAAAAAACAGTTTTTAAAAAAAATAAAATTATAAATATACTTTGCAGTTTTAGATGATGCTTGGTTTATTAAATAAGATTATAATGTGAAAAATTAAGTAATATATATGTATATATTATAGAAAGTAGTTAAATCAAACCAACCTATCTTATAATATTATAAGTGTTTAAGAATTAAATTTAAATTAAAACTTAAAAACTCAATTCAACTCGATTTGATTTTTTTTTTAAAAATTAAATCCTAAAATAAGTCTCATCAACTTGACTAATTCAAAAAAAAAAATTTACTTGCCTCTTTCGATTACTCACATGTGACCATTATGTTTATTTTCTTAAATTTGCAATTTATTGTCTTTATCTCACAATTTGTTTTAACATTTTACCTATACAAAGGCGGGTAGTTCTGCGGTGCGGCGCCTACAAAACGGTTAATATACGGCGTGACCGGTTAAACAAGTGATCGGTTAAAATTTAGGTTATGTTATATTATTTAACCAAAAATATTATAAAGTACAATAACATATTAGGTAGCGCTTATATAATGTAATAGGTAGCGCTTATATTGACCTATTTTATAAGTAAACCAGTATATTTATACCGATAACATTGCAAATTTACCTATTATATTATAATATGTTGAAAGTGTCCATACTTTTTTATAAAAAGGATCGATACTTTTTTTAAAGTTATGTAATTTATGTTTCAATTTTTTAATAGTGTTTCATGTTTTCCACCTACAATATTAATTTAATAATTTCATTTGCACAAAAAATTATTTGATTGTTTTGATATTTTATAAAATAATATTTAGAATTTAAATTTAACAATATTAACCAAGATAATAATAAATATGTAATATATATGTTATTGTTTTTAATTAATGATAATATACCGTAACATAAAAAATAAATCATTAGATACATATAATTACTAAATTGATATCTTAAAACTCACTCAAAAGATAACCTTAAATTAATGTTTTCCACAATGAAATAAGTATGGACACTTTTATAAAAATGATAGATACTTTACAATATAAGCACTACCTATTATATTATATAAACGCTACCTATTACATTATATAAGCGCTACTATTACATCATATTTTTACCTATTATATTGAAAGTGTCCATACTTTTTATAAAAGGATCGATACTTTTTTAAAGTTATGTAATTTATGTTTCAATTTTTTTAATAGTGTTTCATGTTTTCCACCTACAATATTAATTTAATAATTTCATTTACACAAAAAATTATTTGATTGTTTTGATATTTATAAAATATTATTTAGATTTTAAATTTAACATATTAACCAAAGCTAATAATAAATAATATATATGTTTATTGTTTTTAATTAATAATAATATATACCGTAACGTAAAAAATAAATCATTAGACGCCTATAATTACTAAATTAATATCTTAAAACTCACTCAAAAGATAACCTTAAATTAATGTTTTCCACAGTGAAAAAAGTATGGACACTTTTATAAAAATGATAGATACTTTACAATATAAACACGACCTATTACATTATATAAACGCTACCTATTACATTATATAAGCACTACCTATTACATCATATTTTTACCTATTATATTGAAAGTGTCCATACTTTTTATAAAAAGGATCGATACTTTTTTTAAAGTTATGTAATTTATGTTTCAATTTTTTTAATAGTGTTTCATGTTTTCCACCAACAATATTAATTTAATAATTTCATTTACACAAAAAATTATTTGATTGTTTTGATATTTTATAAAATAATATTAATTTGTGTCGATACTTGTTACATTGTTAATTTACCTATTACATTATAATTATTGGTTTTGATGTTTTTTGGGTCGATACTTGTAGTTATTGTACATACCTAAATATGTACTGCGAATTTAATGTTGTACCCACCCTTTAACTACCACTACCAATACCACATCCTATTGAAAGTAGCACGACTGAAACATGTTCAAAATGAACATTTGCTTACATCTCCATCAACTCCTGGACCACTGAACTTACACAACAAAATTTTTGCCATGGATAATCCTGATGTAGACAATGTTAAGCCAACCGAGGAATGCCATGAAGTATATAATGTTGATGAATCTGACAGTTTGGTTGGTCAGCTCTTCTGTTCACGTGATCAAGCTTGGTACTTTTACAAGGGATTCGCACGGGAACATGGGTTTAGTGCACGTAAGGGAACAACACGGCTTGACGTGGAAGGGAATGTGAAGACACAAGAATTTTGTTGTTCCAAAGAAGGGTTTCGAGTATCAAAAGTCAATACTGTTGATCGTCAACGTGCTCATACGCCAGTCACAAAAACAGGATGTAAGGCTAGAGTCGTAGTTACAGCAACAAATACAAACGATCAGTGGGTTATAAGTAAGTCTGATTAGAAACATAATCATGCATTGTGCACACCTGCTATGACACCATTTATGCGTTCTAATAGAGCTGTAAGTAAGGCTGATATCGATGAGGTAACAACATTGAAAGAGGTCGGTGTTGGCACGTCACAAGTAATGAACTATTTAATGTAGCAGGCAGGGGGCTATCATAATGTTGGATTTACACATAAAGACCTCTACAATGCACTTCAAAGAGGTAAATCAAAGGAAATCGTCGATGGGGATGTGAATGCGCTTATTGCCTACTTTGATTATAAGAAACATGATGATCCCGGGTTTTTTATGACATACTCGGTAGACGAATCGGGGGTATTGTATAATCTTATTTGGTCGGATTCTACATCGAGATCGGATTACACATGCTTCGGTGATGTAATTGCGTTCGACACAACGTACAAAGATAATTTGTATGGTCGACCAATTATGCCTATTGTTGGTGTCAATCATCACCATAACACAATTGTGTTTGCCACTGCCATAATCGCTGATGAGACGTCTCAATCTTTCGAGTGGGTGCTACAGAATTTTTTAGAATCCATGATGAATAAATCACCTATTTCAGTTGTCACCGATGGGGATAGGGCAATGCAGAGGGCTATCAAATCTGTTATCCCTTATGCTAAGCACAGATTATGTTCTTGGCATCTTTCTCGCAATGCACAAGCTAACATTGGTAACCCAAAGTTTACAGCAGCATTCTCAAAATGCATGGCTTCCTGGTGGACAACCAAGGAATTTGATATTCAATGGCGTTCGGTTGTTTCAGAATTCAACGTCCAAAAGCATCCATGGGTGATTGAGAAGGGAAATACACGACACTTATGGGCACAAGCATATCTAATCGCTCATTTCTTTGCCAATATTCGCTCAACACAAAGGTGCGAGTCTATGAATGTTTCACTATCTATTGCACTGAAACACAAGAAGACATATTTAGATGTTGTTCGTGCAATTGAAGATGGAATTAGTAGAATGCGTATGAACGAGTTGAAAGCGGATTACTTAAGTTCCCATACGAAGCCCTTCCAGATCACAAAACTGGTCGACCTTGAAAGCCATGCCGCTGCGATTTTTACCCGCGAATCTTTTCGTGTGTTCCAAGATGAACTTATACGAGAGACATTGTACCAGATTAAGGCAGAGATTAAGTCCTTATCAGATGAATGTCAACATTATATTTTGTCAAAGTACGCAGAAAAAAATAGGAAATTTGAAATTAGTTTTGATTCTCGTACGAAAACTTTAATTTGCTCCTGCAAAAAATTTGAGACAGTTGGACTTTCGTGTCGCCATCAACTTCACATTTTGAAGCACTTGGACTACACATATTTTCCTGGGACTTTGATTCAAAGTAGGTGGACTAATGATGTGAAGGCTTCTGCACCAAGTTATGTCGATTTGAATGTGTCGAGAAGAAAATTAGGCGATGTGGGTACTGCAACAGTGAGGGACATAACAAACTAACATGTCCTCAAGTCAAGCTCAGTTTGAGTATAAGCACACAGCCTACATCAACTGATTTTTTCGAAGACAGAATGGAATGACAACGATCTCCATATATCGTAAGTATCAACATGACTCCTATTGTGTATAAGAAACATGTACATATAAATATTTTAAATGAAGGAAGAAAAACCGTGTTACTTAAAATTAGCGACACAATATTAAAAAGTGTCGATATAGGTTTTAGACCTATTCGCTCATAAAACCGGTATATTTATATCGGTTATATTACAAAATTATCTATTACATTATAATTCTGGGTTTCGATGTGTAAATGTAGACACTTTTTGACAGGTATCGACACATTTTTCTTCCATTCTGGACATAAAGTACCGACACAATATTAAAAAGTGTCGACATAGGTTGTAGACCTATTCGCTAATAAAACCGGTATACTTATACTGGTTATATTACAAAATTATCTAGTACATTATAATTCTGGACATAAAATACCGACACAAAATTAAAAAGTGTCGATATAGGTTGTAGACCTATTCGCTCATAAAACCGGTATATTTATACCGGTTATATTACAAAATTATCTATTACATTATAATTCTGGGTTCCGATGTGTAAATGTCGACACTTTTTGACAAGGTATCGACACATTTTTCTTTCATTCTGGACATAAAGTACCGACACAATATTAAAAAGTGTCGACATAGGTTGTAGACCTATTCGCTAATAAAAACCGGTATACTTATACGGTTATATTACAAAATTAT